GTTATTTGTTCAATTTCAAAACAAACTTTCGATTAACAAATCACAAACATTCAGCCTCTATCAACACACGCATGATGCTCCGATCGAGATTGACGGCGGTAGCTCGAGATTGGACTCCATTCACCAGACGTTTTCTTGCGAAGCACGTAGTTTTCGATTGCGAATTATTTATTTATGCAGTATTGAATAAAGAAGTTAATAATAAAAAAATAAATACAATATTTTAAAAAGTGTTGTTGTTTATTTATTATAAAGAAACAATACTGATAATAATGTTCATATCTTTGGTTGGTCAAATATGAATTAGCAGGAGTTAATAAAGTGTTTACAGTATTGTATGTATTTGTTTATCTGCGTCTGCGTGTTCTGGAGGTCTGACGCACTACATGGGAAAACCCAGAGAGTTAAAAATAGTCGTAGCCTGGGAAATAGTTGTTAATCATCGTGTGGGAAACAATGAGACAATGCATTTTGTGTATAAATATGGTCCGAATACATCATGGTCCAATGTAACAAACAGTATACTGTAATGATGATATCAAACAGAATTAAAATTTTATACTTAAAGCCCCATTCCCGGCAAAATTTCACTAAAAACTGACTTTTTTTAGAATATATGCATAAATTTGCATTACTCCAATTATTATAAATCATGGAAAAATATTGGCATGAATTTCAGTTTTACGCAAAAGGATAAAAAAAAAGAGAAATACAGACTATTTCTCATAAAATATTACCATTTTCTCGACGAATTCATCGTTACTAGGCAAATTCAGAGGTTGTAGATCGCATCCACTGGAATACTCTCGCTTTTATGTATACTTTATACAGTCAATAAAGTGCGCCCTCTCTAAAGAGATTAGTTTTTGTACTTCGCATCTCACACAATGCGGTTGTTCGGTTAGGTTGAGATATGTTTGTTTAAGTGTCAAAATCTCAGTCAGAATCAGTTTTTTAACAAATTTGAAATAATTCCTATGAAATATTATATTTCACACGTGTCAATACTAGCAACGGAAAATATCATGCCAGCCGTTTTTATGTGTGATAGCAGAACCTAAATCGAGGTAAGACTAGGCCTAGCCTAGCAGCGTTGGATAGGCTAATGTTTTCGGCGCCTACGATATTTCTTCTCACGACCTATCGCAAAATGAAAAATTCATCCGCATTTATTTTTGTGTGGAACACAAAAAATCAAATTTCAGTCTTATTTTACATTTTTTTCATTCTTAGGAATGTCTAAATTCAGTTAAACTAGCAATTCCGTATTATATTTATAAATCTTTATAACATTATACAAAAATTAGATTTTTCTTAAAAACTGAAATTTTGCCGGGAATGGGGCTTTAATTTATCGCGCTTTGAGGTATATATGTGTGCCTTTGTCCAACTTAATGCGACGATTTTTCTTACTGGCCCAAGCCTCTACAGCTTTCTTAAATTGGTATTCTTTTAGTGTTGGGCCTTCAATTACGATTCTCATGATCGCATCTAATGTTTCTTCCTTCATTCTATTTCTTAGACATGTTTATTAGTTTCATTTGGGAAAAGTCGCGTTCTACGTCGGCAGTGTGCAGTGGGATTGTCCTGTATGATTCAGCTAGTCCTGCAATGTTTGGATACAGCTGCCTCATTTGATTTGTACTCAGCAACTTTACTACTTCGCTGCTTGTTTTTGTAGCATAGTGGTCGATAATATACTGCTTAAGTTCCAACCATTCTTGATTCAAGGCCTGCTTGTCCTCACATCCAAACCTAGATCAAAACAATAACAAACTCTATACCGCATACAGATCACGTGACTGATAGGACACAGTGTCAATTTCCAGCTGATCAAACAGTTTACTGTTCAGTCAAGTAGAACGTGAGCGTCCAATCAGCGCTAAAGCCTGGCAGTTCCACTTGGTTGGTTTTCTGATGTTGTTTTATTTGCTAGGCTGCTTGCATGAGGTTTGAGGCTAGAAAATATGTGATGATATCTCGCGAAAAAAGTAAGAATTCCGGATATGTACGTTTGACGCTGGGCGGAAGGCATTAAATTTTGCTTTAGGCTGGGCGGTAGACTTTTAGGCAGGGCGGCTCCGCCCGGCTCAGCCCTGCACAATTACATCTCTGCAAAGATATTCAATTTAATGAGTCTTGTAATATCAAGGTGATCTTTGAATTTATGATCCTATTTAAACAATAGTTTCTTTGTGTATACAGTAGTTTAACATTCTGTATTTACAGTAATGTCTTCAGTACATTGACTTTCTATCCTCCATGGTATTGTGGTTATACTGGATTGTGTTTCGTCCATGTGAATTTGGATGGTTGGTTCTACTGTAACAATAGTATCTTGGTGCACAGCTAGAATTTACTGGATCTAACGTCTTCAGTATATTGACTTAAATTATCTTTTCTTACAAAGATATTGAATTTAATGAATCTTGGATTATTTTAAATTCTCATTGCACTTCCACTACTTGTAGGCGTTTTAGGTTATTTTATTTGATGTGATATGGCTACTTCTAAATCTATCAGGATGATAAAGCACTCTCTCAGAAACACAAAAAACTTCAATTGCACTTTTCGTATGTCCAACTTGTACTAGTTAAGAGAACAAATGTCAAAATTCAATCCTTTTACTTTCCTTGTTTTAGAGATGGCACCAGTACAAATATTGCATCCTCTCTGGCTCTCCTTGTCTTTTTAGAGCACAGTGTGATTTTGTGTAAATGGTAGAAATCTATAACAGGTTTCCTTCTAAATAAAGACCTTTCCAATTAAAGGCCACTTTTCTGTGGTCCTAAATTACAATTGTATTCTATCTATATTATTCTAATTAGAGACCAAAGTTGCTAAAGACCATGAAAACCCCAATACTAGAAGTGGTCTTTAATTGGAGGGAGCACAAGTGTCTTGTGTCTTGAAGTGGCTGCTGACTTTTAAAGTCAGCAGCCACTTCTGCAACAACTGGTTAAACCAGTTGTTTTTCTAGTGAAGAATAGGTTAATAATTGAGAGGCCACACTGTACAGTAGCTGTAAGGCAACCTTTCTCCATCGGATCTTACCTATACTATCTTTTCTTACAAAGCTATTCAATTTAATGAGTCTTGTAATGTCTAGGTGATCTTTGAATTTATGATCCTATTTAAACAATAGTTTCTTTGTGTATACAGTAGTTTAACATTCTGTATTTACAGTAATGTCTTCAGTACATTGACTTTCTATTCTCCATGGTATTGTGGTTATATCTTACAAAAATATTCCGTAATCATAAAGAATTTCCATATCTGCTTTTATGTGTTTTATTGCAAAAAGGCACAATACAGGCAATCCATCATTTAGAAGTACTTTCATTGATGAATTAATTTCTTGTTTTTCTCCATGATTCACAAATCTACCGACTTGATTAACCTTGGGAGTTGTTGCGTCAATACTGAAAAATAAAAATGTTTTAGACCAAAGATCTTGGAGTAACTTTGACTAGTTATCAATGTTGCATACACTTTTTTTTATAAGAAAGAGTAAAATTTTTTATTATTCAGTGTGTTCTTGTTTAAAAAATTGTTTATGTACAGTCAACCTTTTCATTTACATACAAATTAGTCTGTGGTGTTTGTAAATAATGAAGTATTTGTAAATGAAAAGTTTTATAACAATAAGAATACTAGGCCAGGAAATTAATAATTCTTAGTATTCTTTTTGCATTCTCTGCTGGTTAAACTTGCTGTTTAAGTAAATTTAAACTTTAAAATACAAATATAAAATAAATTTCAATGATCTTTATCAGAATATGACACAAAAATTTAAGTTTTTGATGATGTCATTGACTATTTATTTGATGCAAGATTTCTGAATGAGTCAATAAATTTCTGTAAACCAGACAAAATAGTAATAAAAATCAAACATAATTTATTGTATACCACAAACAGGGATATTTCATGGTTCGGTTTAAGCTTTTGGTTATAGGGTTGTGCTTCCTGGTTTTATCATGTTTTAACACATTAATTATATAATTTGTTTTTCCCCATCAAAGTTTGGAATAATATTTTTGGGAGTGTGGGAAGGACCACAAACGTGTGAATTTCACAATGAATGCTTGATATCAGCTGTGTTTGCAAAACACATACTAATATAGAATCAATCTGTCCTGTTCTGCCCAATCACCATTAAAAAAAAATTAACTAGAAAGCACTCAGAGAGCACAGACCTCAACCAAGCATATAAAATTCCTTTAAAAAAAAAAATCTTATTAAAAATAAATAGAAAAATTAAAATTCTAAAACTTCATCCGGGATTGAATCAACAGGCAGGCCCTCCTTACTGGCTGAGCTCTTGTGTGTTTTTTTTTTTTTTAGCAGTCTGTATAGGTTCTTCTACATAACAGCTGATAACCATGTAAATAAGAGGTTGCATACGGTACAAGACACACAAAAAATTGGCCCTCACGGCCTCATTACCTCAAATTCAGATTTTGTTATTAGAATGCTCATTTTCAATTAAACATCATCTTGAAACTGAAAACTGGTACGCGGGGACTACATTATTTTTGTTTTTTTTAAATAACTAGTCATGCACTTAAAAGTGATAAGCAGTTTTTAAAAAAATAAAAGTATTACGGTAGGTAAAGTTTCAAGGAAAACAATTTTTCAAGAAATTTGCAGTCTTTGATTTTACTCACCAATATCCTTTATCCTTGCATTTAAAAAAAAATCTAAATACGCTTGGTAATGTCTCCTCTCTGTTTTCACCTTCTTCAGCAGAAATAAGCTCTCCGGCATATTCGAGGAGGAAATCTCCAGGAAAAAACTCTTTTGTTGCAAAGACACCCTTCCCTGAAAAAAATTCAAATAGTGAAACAACAATACATGGTATAATATATAAAGTTTTAAACATTTAACTACTAAATTGAATGAACTTTATTACAATTAAAATTATACATGGCAATATTTTAGAGAAATTTACTTTTGTAAAAATTACCCATCTTTAACTTATTGTTGTCTGTTGTTAAAAATGGCCGCGACAAAAATGGCCCTGTAAAAATCACCTTGGTAGGAATTGCCCTGGTAAAAATTGGCCCAGTAAAAATGGCCCCAATTTGCGAGTAGGTAAAAATAGCCCCATATTTTTTTCTTTGTTTTTTGATAGAACACAACTTTGTAAATAAGTATTTACCGGTATTAATTCAAATTTACCGGTATTAATTTATTGTACAATAATTGTGACATAATTTAGCACTCATAGCTTTTTCTTCACTTGTTTAATGTCTAAAACTATCAGAGAATACAAGAAACCTAATTGAATCCTAAATTTAAGTAAATATCTAGGGTAGGACAAAACTCAACTCAAAAGCATGCCTGAAAAATCAAGTTTCTTCAACAATTTACCGGTATTAATTTTTCAATTGGGAGAACACTTCAGTCCAAAATTTCTTTTTTGTCACTATTAAAACCTTGCTTGCCTCAATGTCGTTAGAGTCATCATCATCATCGCTTGCAAGCGCATCATAAAATCGTTTAGGTTTCCTCTTTCTGTTTCCCTTTCCTAATGGTGTTGTGAAATTGTTCAACTGTCCAGTAGTAACATACACATTCCGTTTCTTAGCAAGTTCAGCACGATCACCTACAGCAATAATATAAAAATATATAAAGTTAAAAATAGTATACTATTTAAACAGTTACTACAGCAGAATCTCCAAATACCGAACACATGTATCATTAATTTCAAAATGCATTTGTTATAAATTTTATTTTATAATAATAAAAATTTCATTTTGGCAGGAAAAAAAAAACTTCATTTACAAACTCTCAATGGCCTTTACCCATGCTGCTCATGCTGAGTGTAATTTTAGGTGTGCTGTAGGTGGGCGAGTTTTCACACCTTGCAACATTCTATTGTTATTTTAGACAGCTGTCCGGTGTGCAGAAGTAGATTTTAGTGATCTGGACTGAAAAATTTGTTTCGAATTTGGAGAGATTCGGTTATCACAACATGTTTTATTAATAAAATATTAATAAATTTGGGACTTATCATCCGGTTTAGCGTTGATCAGGTACAGTTTTTTTTTAGATTACACTGTATAAATAACATTCCAAATGTTAGTTCAACATCAAATTTTGTTTTATTGAAATAAAAAAAAAGTGAAAATAAAAGAATTGTTTTCATTTATTTTATATTTATAGCCTAGGCCTAGATCGTTTTCAAAAGAAATATCACAATTTTTGTTAAAAGCTTGATATGTTCAAAATTTTGACATACAATGTTAGACAACCCGTTATATCAAAAACCATTTTATGAATGCGAAAGTAAATAATTTCAACCAACAGGTTTTTATTTTAAATCTTAAAAACCCTACTTTGCTTGAGTGGCTATTTATTCTGAAATAGCCCAATTAAACACAATAAATTATTGTGAAAATTTACGCCTTTTAGATAGGGTCGAAACGACTCAAATCCAGACTAAAGGTCTTTTATAGCTAGCTATGACGAATACAGATCGTTTCGGTCGCGCTTCATTTCGGTCGCGGTATATTTTTTTAACAAATATGGAGCAACAATGAAGTTTAGAAAACACAAAATTTGAAATAAAAATACCAGGCCTCATTATCATTATAAGTTCGTCAATCGGTTTATCATACTTTGATAGCAAATAAACTAAGCTAAATTCCAATCAATATTTTATAGTTAACCAGTTATTTGTTTGAATACCATGGGTTTAACCACCCACGACTTGCACATATTAATTAATTAATTAATTAATAAATTAATTTATGCCTAATTAATGTTATAGGTAGAGATGTAAAAATAATTTTTATATCTCTGTGTTTGCAGTAACATTAGTTGATAACAAAGTTTAGGCCTATTATTATTGTTATATCTCGACTGAAGTGAAGCGCAACCGAAACGAAGTGCGACCGAAATGATCGGCTACCGCTATGACCCCCTGGCTAGCCTAGCTCCTAGAGTATAGGCCTAGTAGGCCTAGCCTAGGCGTCCCGCCGGTCTAGGGCCTGGTGTAACGGGAGTTACTATTTATAGTAGTGACGTAATGATGTAAGGGTCACATGACCTTGTACCGCGGGAAAGCGGTAGCGTCTGGAGCATATACATCATGTGATCGAGGTGTGCTATGCTAATTGTCTTGAATAAAATGTTGTTCATTTTAACAAACACTTTATACTGAAGAATAGGCCTACTTACCTCCAAAACAAATGATTTTTGCGGCACATCGAGTCACATCTGGTCGTTTTTTGCTACCACCAGCACTGTGCCAAGCACACAATACCTCTTCGCCTATCCAAGTTTCGTAATTACTTTCAGTTATCTCTTCGTCGATCCATTCTGTCATTCCTATATCTACACTTGGTGGATCTTCGTCAAAAAATTCCAGCAGAACATATTTGAATTCTGTCATCCTTAAATATCTTTATCGATAATACCCAAATGTAAAAAAAATCAAACTCGAACCACTCTCAGCCTAGGCCTAGGCTAGCCACACTATGAATGTGTGCTTGGCTTTTTCCGATCCCGCCCAAAATCAACAGACGCGCGCGGCCGGTTGTTGTTTCCTGCTCAACCAATCAGAAAAGCGGTTTTTGCGCTCAAAGTGAAGTATGGGATCGCTTGATTTGATGGCTCGTTCATTAATATTAATATAAGGGAATTTTAATTGATAATAATAATAGTTATTATTGTGTTTTAAACTATTATTATTAAGATAAATAACTTTGTTTTATTATAATAAAAGTTAAATAAATAATATATATGTTAAAAAATTATAAACTAATATATGGGTCACTCCACCAGGTTGGGACACAATGTGTGACATGAATGCCAAAATTTCAAATTGGTTTTAAGACAAATCTATTCCATTCAGCAAGTTGGTAATATATTGTACTTTCTTAAAAATAAATCTCAAGATTGTAGGATTTGTAATCAAATTGTTATGATGGTAAATATAATGGTCTGTCATTTAAAAAATGTATGGACGTAACATTGACACCAAACTTGCTAAAAAGGCAGTCAGTCATTCATTTAAGCCTGAATGATGTAAATTATGTTGTTAGGAGTTAGTCAAAACAGAGGTAGTTTAAACTGTATTAATATTATGCTTTAACTACTAATAATTAAAGAAAGTAAATACACGCAAATCTATGTTGTTTTTTTTTCTATTGCAGGATTTTATTTATTTAACTGGTTAAGTCATTGTATAATGTCGTTAAACATCAAAACAAAGATTTTATTTCCAATCTATATTTCAAATATGTACTAAGAATGTTTTAGTGTTTTTAATCAA